ACTGATTGACTGACTGACTGACTGAACCCCAGCCTTGCTCCATTGTTACCAGATACCTCCTTCAATTTAGGATGGTACCGTCCCTGCAGCATAGACGCGTAGAACTTGTTCAGCCCAACACCTCAAGCTGATGTTTTACATTTTAATCCAAACACATATGATCCTGACATCCCACCACTTAACTATACAACTTCAGCAGCCTGAACCTTCGCGCCAAAGGCTTTTGGAGCGAGCTACGTGAGAACATGGCTCTGGAGCGGCTCGCGTCCGCGGAGTGAGCTTCTCTTTTCTTCTCCAGCTCTTGGTTCGTGTAGCCTTGGATGAAGGGTTTAGGCTGGGCACTGGCCCCACCCTGTAACAGTCTGTATCAGGGGTCAGGCTAAGCGCAGAATAATAAGAGAGAGCGAGAGAGAGAGAGAGAGATAGAGGCAGATAGAGGTATATATATATATATATATACATATCTATCTATCTACCTATCAGGCTGTTACCGGATGGGGGCAGTACCCAAAGTTTAGGGATTAGGCTTAATATAGGGACCACCAGAATTAGATTAGGGCGCTTGGATCTATTATGCCATAGTTGTACATGGACCCGATAAAGGGGGCACTAGACGTACTTCTGTGTTCCAAAACTAGCTTTCTTCGGGCCTTGACACCTGACGCTGAAGACTGAATTTGTGCAGCGTTTGGGCTGTGGACTGATGTCGATACCTCGGGCTAATCCCGAAAGCATAGGGAATGTTGAATTCTCAGAGGCAACGCATGACATGCGGGGAACATGAGATGGACACAGGAAACATAGATAAACCAGCAGAGAAAAAGTTCAACAACACTAGGAAAACCTATGACAATAGTACTAGTAGGGACTATGAACACCATAAGGAAACAAACAAACATAGTCAGGCATGCGAGAAAATCATACAAATGCATGGTGTCCCTAGTTTCTCTTGGTTTTCCTGGCACAAATGGGAAGATTAGAAGACTCAGACAAGACACATAGCAGAACAAATGTAGATAACTAGGAACACATATCAGACAATGACGGGATAACCAATGAGGAAAACAGGAGGAATGAAGGAACACTTCGCAGCGCCATCCATAAAGCTAGGAAAACTAGGAAGTACGGAACAAAAACAAAGAACAAACTACGAAATAAGTCCAAAGCATGGGAAACCACGCAATAGACTAGGACCATGGTTAGATAAACTAGACAACATGTTGGCCTATTTGTCCATGTGTGCTTCATAGCAGCACTTTTATTTCTGGCCATTTCTTATGTTTCTTCGATTCAACTCGTGGTCCTGGTCTCCGTCTTTATTTCCAACGTTTTCCTGTTTGCTCCTCCTGCTTTCCTGTTTACACAGGAGAACCAAGAGAAAAAAACATATTCTAATGGTTTTGAAACTCCCCACGGTTTCCAGTTTGCTACCCTTTCCTCAGTTTTTACCTCCTATACTGTTTCTTTGTGGCTGCCTTTTTCTCCTGTCTCCGGCAGCCCCTGCATTCCTATCTGTTCCCCACTTCTCGACTTATTTAAAATCTGACGTATTTCTAGGATTACCACAAGTTATTGAAGTACCGATAACAGCAGCCTTTCACATTTATGCGGAAAGGGCTCCGGGCTGGAGGCAGTATCAGGCTCAGTATGATGGAAGCGTCACGGCATTCCCCATTATAGGAGTTCTTTGAACATTCGCTGCTGTGTGCCGGGCCAAGTACCGCGGCGGGATGCTTACAGGGAATTGGGCAGTCTTGCATAGCTGCTGGGTAATCACTCGATGCCCGGACACCAAAGCTTCTCCATGCTGATCAGTTAAGGGCTACGTTGCATGAAGAGGGCCCTAAACGCTAAACCCTAAAACCTAAATCCTAA